TAGAGAGGGCCCAGGTATAAACTCAAGCATATATGGAATTAATATATGATAGAGAAGTCATAGATATACAATGGGGAAATGACAACCTCTTCAACAACTGGTGTTGGCAAAACTGGACAGCTACATGGAAGAGAATGAAACTGGATTACTGTCTAACCCCATACACAAAAGTAAACTCAAAATGAATCAAAGCCCTGAATGTAAGTCATGAAACCATAAAACTCTTAGAAGAAAACACAGCCAAATATTTCTTGAATATAAACATAAGCAACATTTTCCTGAACACATCTCCTTGGGCAAGGCATACAAAATCAAAAATGAACAAATGGGACTACATCATGCTAAAAAGCTTCTGTACAGCAAAGGACATCATGAACATAACAAAAAGGCATCCTACAGTATGGGAAAATATATTTGTAAATGACATACCTGACAAGGGGTTAACATCTAAAATATATAGAGAACTCACATGCCTTATCACTCTAAAAGCAAATAACCCTATTAAAAAATGGGCAGAGGAGCTGAACAGACACTTCTCTAAAGAATAAATTCAGATGGCTAACAGGTACATTAAAAGATGCTCCACATCACTAATTATGAGGGAAAAGCAAATTAAAACCACAACAAGATATCATCTCACACCAGTTAGGATGGCCAACATAGAAAAGACTAGGAAAAACAAATGCTGGTGAGGATGCAGAGAAAGGGGAACCCTCCTACACTGCTGGTGGGAATGTAAACTATTTCAACCACTATGGAAAGCAATAAGGAAGTTCCTCAAAAAACTATAACAATAGAAATACCATTTGACCTGGAACTTCACTCCTAGAAACTTACCCAAAGAAAACAACTTCTCAGATTCAAAAAGACTTATGGACCCCTACGTTTATCGCAGCACTATTTACAGTAGCCAAGAAATGGAAGCAACCTAAGTGTCCATCAGTAGATGATGGATAAAGAAGATGTGGTACATATACACAATGGAATACTATTCAGCCATAAGGAAACAAATCCTACCATTTGCAACAACATGGATGGAGCTAGAGGGTATTATGCTCAGTGAAATAAGTCAGGCAGAGAAAGACAAACACGAAATGATGTCCCTCATTTGTGGAGTATAACAACGAAGCAAAACTGGAAGGAACAAAATAGCAGCAGACTCACAGACTTCAAGAAGGGACTAGCGGTTACCAAAGGTGTGGGGTAGGGGAGGGTGGGTCAGGAGGGAGGGAGAAGGGGATTGTGGGGTATCATAATTAGTGCACATGCTGTGTGTGGGGTCACAGGGAAGACAGTGTAGCACAGAGAAGACAAAAGTAGGGACTCTGTGGCATCTTAGTACACTGTTGGACAGTGACTGTAATGGGGAATTGGGGGGACTTGATAAGAAGGGTGAGGAGAGAACCAAGATGGCAGCATGAATAGAGCAGTGGAAATCTCCTCCCAAAACCATATATATTTTTGAAAATACAACAAATACAACTAATCCTAAAAGAGAGACCAGAAGACACAAGACAACAGCCAGACTACATCCACACCCACAAGAACCCAGTGCCTCGCAAAGCGGGTAAGATACAAGCCGTGGCCCAGGGGGACCCGAGCACCCCTCACCCCAGCTCCCAGTGGGAGGAGAGGAGTCAGAGCGGGGAGGGAGAGGGAGCCCAGGACTGCTAAACACCCAGCCCTAGCCATCCACACCAGAGTGCAGACACACAGTGCGTGCAGGGGTGCTGTATACTAGGGAAACAGTACAGTAAGACCTGTGAGTGGGTCCCCACAGCCGATGCACCCAGGACAAAGAAAAGCGAGTGCTTTTTGAAAATCTTAAAGGGACAGGGACCCCACAGCTGGATGGAAGCACCCTGGGACACTTAGCCTAGCAGCTGCAAATCCCCGGGGAACTCTGGGCATCTGAAACCCTGCAGCACAGCTCGGAGGCCCCTCACCCTGATAAACAGCCTCCCGCCTGTTCCCCCTCCGACGCAGCTCTGCCATATTGGAGCAGCAGCCTGAGGCAGGCCACGCCCACAGCAACTGCAGAGCTAAATAAACTCCATAGCAGCTGGGCAAAATCAGAAGCCCCGTCTGCACGCAGCTGCCCAGCACAAACCACTAGAGGTCGTTGTTCTCCCAGGAGAGGAAGGCCATAAACTGGCAAGAAGGGACTTTCTCTTACCCAACACATGCGCCAGCTCCCCACAAATATATCTATTGCCATGAAAAGGCAGAAGAAATTGATACAGACCAAGATCACAGAGGCAAACCCTGAGAAGGAGATAGACCTAACCAGTCTTCCTGAAAAAAAATTAAAAATAAAGCTCATAACCATGCTGATGGACCTGCAGAGAAATATGCAAGAGCTAAGGGATGAAGTCCAGAGGGAGATTACAGACATCCGGAGGGAGATTACAGAAATGAAACAATCTCTGGAAGGATTTGTAAACAGAATGGATTAGATGCAAGAGGCCATTGATGGAATAGAAACCAGAGAACAGGAACGCATAGAAGCTGATGCAGAGAGAGATAAAAGGATCTCCAGGAATGAAACAATATTAAGAGAACTGTGTGACCAATCCAAAAGGAACAATATCTGCATTATAGGAGTACCAGAAGAAGAAGAGAGAGAAAAAGGAATAGAAAGAGTATTTGAAGAAATAATTGCTGAAAACTTCCCCAAACATGGGGAGGAAATAATCGATCAGACCATGGAAATGTACAGAACTCCCAACAGAAAGGACCCAAGGAGGACAACACCAAAACACATAATAATTAAAATGGCAAAGATCAAGGACAAGGACAGAGTTTTAAAGACAGCTAGAGAGAGGAAAAAGGTCACCTACAAAGCAAAACCCATCAGGCTATCATCAGACTTCTCAACAGAAAACTTACAGGCCAGAAGAGAATGGCATGATATATTTAATGCAATGAAAGAAGAAGGGCCTTGAACCAAGAATACTGTATCCAGCACAACTATCATTTAAATATGAAGGAGGGATTAAACAGTTCCCAGACAAGCAAAAGTTGAGGGGATTTGCCTAACACAAACCACCTCTACAGGGTATTTTAGAGGCACTGCTCTAGATGGGAGCACTCCTAAGACTAAATAGATGTCACCAGAGAAAATAAAATCACAGCAAACAAAGCAGACCAACCAAATACTAACTAAAGGCAAAAAATAAAATCAACTACCCACAAAAGCAGTTAAAGGAAGCACAGAAGAGCACAGAATAAAACAACCAACATATAAAGAACAGAGGAGGAGGAATAAGAAGGGAGAAAAATAAAGAATGGCCAGACAGTATTTAAAATAGCTCAATAAGTGAGTTAAGTTAGACAGTAAGATACTAAAGAAGCTAATCTTGAACCTTTGGCAACCATGAATCTAAAGCCTACAATGGCAATAAGTACATATCTTTCAATAATCACCCTAAATGTAAATGGACTGAGTGCACCAATCAAAAGACAGAGAGCAATAGAATGGATAAAAAAGCAAGACCCATCTCTATGCTGCTTACAAGAAACTCACCTCAAAACCGAAGACTATAGGAACAAAGAAAGACTGAAGGAACAAAACAGCAGCAGAATCACAGAACCTAAGAATGGACTAACAGTTACCAAAGAGAAAGGGACTGGGGAGAAAGGGAGGGATAAGAGTGGGGAAAAAGAAAGGGGACATTATGATTAGCATGTATAATGTTGGGGTGGGGGGCATGGGGAGGGCTGTGCAACACAGAGAAGACAAGTAGTGATTCTACAGCATCTTACTATGCTGATGGACAGTACTGTAATGGGGTTTGTGGGGGGGATTTGGTGAAGGGGGGACCCTAGTAAACATAATATTCTTCATGTAATTGTAGATTAATGACAACAAAATTAATTAATTAATTTTTTAAAAAAAGAAGGGTGAATGGGTGAATGTAATAACCACATTGTTTTTCTTGTGAAACCTTTATAAGAATGTATATCAATGATACCTTAATAAAAAAATGAATAAATAAATATTCTTCATCTGTGTTATAAACAACAAAGAACAACTGTAAAATGCCTAATGTAAGAGGAAAACGACAATTTGGCACAACTCCATGAAAAAAGATCAAGTAGATTCGTGGCTATAAGCCAGGTACAGGTCAACAGTGTTAAGTCATATTACTAGAAATTGTGGCACCAAATCACTGTCCTATGATGGTCAGAAGCTGAGTGTTCTACTTTGAGAACCAATCTTTAAAAAATATACTGACACAGTATACAAGCATAGGAGATTATAAGTGTTTGGAAAAATTAAATTATAAGAGGAACAGCTAATGGGACAGAGAATGTATAGTCTGGAAAAATTGGGCTAGGGAAGTGACATTAGTAGGTTTTAAACAAATTAGGATTATCATGTAAATGTGAATTAGGTAACATAATTCTGTATTTTTTCAGAAGACAAAGTTTAAAAGCAACAGTCTCAGAAGTTATTGGGAGGCAAAGAGCAATTTAAGAAAAATTTCTAACTAATGCTATCCAACAGTGAAAGACATTGCCTTCTAAGACAGTAAGCTTCACATAAAAAAGTTCTTCAAGCCCAGGAGTGGCAACTACCTGCAGAGATAATGTAATAAGGATTTTTTACTGTATGGCAGATGGACTGGGTAATTTCTAAGGCCTACTCCAACTCAAAAAGTCTGATTTCACCATTCTTTACAGGTAATAAAACAAGGTAAGGAGGGAATTAAAATGGATAGAAGAAATTTTAATGCTTAAAACTAAAACTAGCAAAATATTTTTCAGACTTATTTAGCATATTACTGATGAATACACTTCTGTAGAGCTGTAGCTGAGGCCAGACATTGCACACACTTCCACTTAGTTCTAGAGTTGAAATTGTGATCAAATCCTAAGAGATCAATGTACCCTTACTACAATACTAATGGAAATTCCATATATATATTACCGATAAAAGTACTGAAACACAAGCAATTTTATGATGAAAAGACTTACAAAAAAATTTGTAGACTTACCCCCATCAAAATCACAAAATACACCTATTTTCTCAGGAACAGTAATATCCAAGGCTTTGACTTTATTATTATGTTTTGCTGCAAATGTGTTTTGTAGCCAGTTGTTGACATGGATACACCAACTAGTGTTTGTCTTTCCTAGTTGGTCAAATTTCCCCAAAGTCTTATATGCTACTCCCACACTGTAGGATTTACAATCCTTCTGGGCCTTGACCTCCCAATAATGTTGTCCACTTTCAATAGCAGTGTCTCCTACAAAAGATCAGAAAGGTAAATTTGACTCCTACCTCTTCCTTATTAAGTCACATAGTTTTTATCTATCTCTCATCCCACAAAAATCACACAAAAAATCTAATTCAGGAGAATAATACACAGTCACTAAATGCAGAGTATCTCCTATAACTTTATTTGTATACTTATTTTAACTATATTTATTTTATAGCTAATTTTTTTTGTTATCATTAATATACAATTACATGAAGAACATTATGTTTACTAGGCTCCCCCTTTCACCAAGTCCCTCCCACACACTCCTCTATAGTCACTGTCCATTTACAGTTAATTTTTATAAATTAGTTTTATAAAATGGTAAATTATAGTTGTAATTTTTCCAAGCTAAGACATTTGTAGGCAGTAATAAAGTACCTGAAGGGTTTAAAGTAGGAATCAGAGTTAAGTTTTGCTGGTAACCAATTTTTCTGAATATAAAAACTTCAGAACTTTTCCTCTTTACTATCCCCTCAGGAGTTTTACATACATATGGAACACTATATGTAAAATGAAGTAGAGTTTTAAACATATTAATAAGACAATCTGAAAACCCGCCAAAGTAATTAGGCTTCATGAGGGAGAAACTCTGGCAAAAATTCATTCAACACAAAGGCAGCCACTCCAGCTCAAGCGAGTGGAAAGTCGACAATGTGACAGTTCTTCCTTATCTCAGGCTGAGGACATCACAATCATCCTACCCAGCACGGTGTATGATTCCCCTGTAAAACGATCTCTGCTGCCTCTTACTGCTGGTGGCCTGGCACCTATGGATGTCCGTTTCGGAGATGGTGTACCACTTCTACATAAACCGGAACAAAAAGAAAAACAATACTCTATATTGTAAATATTTCATAAATCACAGTTAAAATTTGGGAGCTTTGAAGATATTTCTAATTATGTTACACAAATAGCACAATTTAATTTTATCTGAATTAATATTAAACAAAGTTGTCACTTATAAACACTCAAATATAAGAAGCCATCAACACAAAGCAGGCTGAAAACACTAGCATCATGCACCCAGCAAGGCTTATACAAAGAACACACAGTTGAAATAAGAAACAATGTCAAAATGAACCACAAGAAGGGAAAAAAGAACTGAAAGACAAAAAAAGAACTCAAGAAAGATAATGGATTACAGCTTGCATTTCTTGTAGCTCAACTTAAATAAAAGCAATGGCAAAATCAGGTCTATTACAATAAAAAAACTAAATGACCTTTTTTATAAGCAGTCAGTGTTTTTGTTCTGTATCTTTTCTTCTTAAAAAGAGAAAGAGCAATTGCCAAATCCATGCACAGGATGATAACAAGTATTATAAAGCATTTCTCCTAACAAAACGGACAAGATTCAACCTGACCTCCTCTTATATCAAATTATATGATATGGTAAGCTGGACTACATTAGGCCTAACAGTAACTTCCAGAAATTCAAAATAAATCAAATCCCAAAGATGTTTAAAAAATAACATTTCAATTATTTTGCATTTAAAAAACAACAAAAAATTCATAACTTACCAGTAGTAAAGAAATAAAGGGAAAGCATGGAGAAAAGAAAAACAGACATAACTACTGAGAATGGCAGTTTAAATTTCAGAGAGAAGTTCAATAAGGAGAATACTTCCATTGCAGCATTCTAGATTTCCAATCCAAAAAACATTTTTGTAAAAGAAGTACTATAGCTATTATTATTTTATTTCAAACATGATCCCCCACCTCCACCCTTTTAAAGACATCTTGACTACTTAACTATCTGAATTAGGGCTCTTTATTACCTCAACTCTGGACTGTCTTATCAGCTTCCCAAATTATCTGTTTGCCACCCAATTCATATTTTTCAGTGTTACCAAATAAAGTAACTGTGATTCTCCTACTTAAAAATTTCAAGTACTTCCTTACTGCCTACAAAGGACTTAGTGTGGCATTTCAGGTTCTTCCTAATTTGGTCCCATATGCTTTTCTAGCCTTCTCACCCCTAGAAAGCTCTACCCAGCTAAAGTGTTCCTTAAACTCAGGCAATCTGCTTCAGTGCCTCCAAATTCAAATGCCACACATTTTTTCACTTCTTGAGAACCAGCCTAAATACCATTCCTTAATGAAGATCTCCCAGATTTTATCAGGCTAAATAACTACTCTAAGGAGTCCAGCTCAGGCCAAAATCCTATGTGTGATTTCTCAGATCTAACCATAGGCAATATGAAGGCTTACACTGGAAGGACACCAGTCTTGGTGCACAGCTAGTTCACAGGAGTTTCTGGAGGCAGGTGCAATCCCCCTACCCCTAACCCCATGCTCATGTGCTTATCTGCATTACTAGCTTAGGCACCTCTAGAGATGGCTTATGGGAGACCTTTTCCAGCTACATTTTTGGAGACCTCCTTCAAGGGGGTAAGGGTAGGGGAATGTAGCGACACTTTTCTCCACTGTCTTAATACTTTTCTACTCCTAACCCTTCCCCCCATTCTTGGCCTCAAGTACATAAAACAACAGGAGGAGCCTTTTGTTTTGGGCCTCCTCAGCGGTGAGATGATCCTCCAGATATCTGCCATCTGCAATCTGCTCTGATTTACCTGACCCTTGGCCAGGGCCATTCTTTTGGGAAAAAAGGAACACCAGGAGAGCTAGCAGAGCATCCTTTCCTTATACTCTCACATTGTAAGTGTGTTTAATGCATGCTTATACTATCACAGTAAAGGAATAAAGGCTTAATTGTTACTTTCAGTTTAGCTCATTTGTCCTAACTGAGCACTTCAGCACCTGACAGCTCAGGACATCATTCTTCCCCTAACCTACTTTATTCATCCTTACCTTTACATATGAGCTCTACCTTATATTACTGTTATCTTTATATCTCATCTACATAAGTTAGGGCAAATTTCGTGAAAGCAGGGATAGTGCTTATCCCTATAAACTCCACAACATCCAGATGACATCCTACAGTGAATAAATATTTATGGAAAGAATAAATGTATATAACATTCCAGAAGCAGCCTACGTATAAAATTATCCTTAAAAAGAGGGAAAGGAAAAAGAGAAATATGATCTGAAATGCTGAAAATAATCAATCTAAAAACCTTCAAGTGATCAAATGAACCTCACAGACTCTCTTAGATTCAACAGCATTTTACAGTTTATAATGCACTAACTATGAAATCACTTTTGCCAAAAATGAGCAAAAAAAACTAGAAAAAGAAGAAGATAATTTTGAAAAGAGAACACATTCTAGGTTTGGTAAAGATATGAGGTATCTTCAAATTAGCAATTGAATTGATTCATCTTCCTGGTAGTGTCCTAATAATTGTGATAATAACCTTTTTTTATCCTTGATGCTTTTGAAACTGCATGAATTTTATACAATACAAAATACTTCAAATCTGCTCATGTCAAATACAAATAAAAGCAAAACTGTAATGTTAGACAGATTGAATACAGTGCAACAAGAAAGATGCCAGATACAGGTAAATGTAGAAAAATCAGAAGAGGGAAAATAATTCAAGAAAGACTTTAAAGCAGAGCTTATTGTTTTGTTATCATATACAATATAATCCAAATAATATGCAGCACGCTATAATGCTGTAAATTCAAACAGAGCTACAAATACATTCTACACAGAGCAGTATTTTAGCTTATAAAGGCTGCTGCAATGGCTGTTGCTCAGTGGTTAAAAGAAAAAATCAAAGTTATTCAGCCAAGCTAGATATACTAAGTCCTAGAACCAGACAGACATAGATCATCACCTTGTATGTTTCTTCAGTGAAGTAACATGGACACTGTCAGATAAAAATAGGCAACTGTTAAGAAACTGCTTTTCAATTTAAATTTAACAGCTTATAATTAAATTAGATCAAAACCCTGCTGAGGAACTTTTTTTAATTCTCTGTTTTAACTCATACTTTATTTCAGTTTAAGGAAGATTTTCCTCTCTTAAAAAAGAAAGAGGTCCCCATACATTGAGACTATGTAAGTAAGTCTAATAACAAAAGTTCCCCAGCCTGCCTCTGCAGTTCATAATGCTGCTGATCAAGGAGCATGACACAGGGTATATACATTAAAAGTTGTCAAGGACTGCAGACCCTCACCTAAGACAGGTGATCTTAAGTCTAAAATTCAGGAATGTCTCTCTAAGCAGTTTAAGTTGATATAGACAGAACTTTAAAGAAATGGAGTACAAAAAAAATGGAAATGTTTAAGAAAAGAATTAGGAAAGAAACTAAGAAAAAGTGATAAAAATGTTAATAACAAATTCAAGTATTGGCAATAGAATATTCTTCACTTTGGTTAGTAACATATCACAAACCAAACGGATATACAGAATGAAGATTTCATTATAGGTCATTGTCAAATAAGAATCAATGTACAATCATTTGTCCAGGTATCAGATTTAATGAACTAACTTACCTTCCCTTGTTCTCTTTTCCTTTGATTTTATTTTCTTGACCTTTTCCTCCAGTAGGATCCCACTCTACACAGGTATCTTCAACTCTCAGGTTCAAATGGGATGATGAGTTATCCAAACTGAAGTTAAGTGCTGAACAAAACAGTATTAATGTAACATGTCTCTACTTTCTGAAGCATAACTAGCATCACATTATTTTCCTACTCAATTGACTCGACAATGTATATAGAGAATAATAAAGTTCAAATTCCTAATCCTAGCACTTCAAGCCTCCAAAGATAAGGCCGTAATTCACTAATTCCTAATTTATTTCCCATTATTCTTCTCTACATATCCTAGACTCCAGCCAAGTACAATATACTTGCATGGACACTTGTGTTTCTGCTGTTCTTTGTGCTGGACTCTCCATCAACACACAATAACTTCAACTTCCTGTTATTAGACTATTAGTTGATTATTGGTTGACTGTTACGACTAAATAGGAAAAAGAGCTGGCAGAATTAAGGATGAGAAGAAAGTGATGTAGTATAAAAAATTATAGAGAGCACACACATATTTTCTCTAATGCTCTAATACTTAATAATTTCACATTTAAACTCTCAGTAGTTTCAAAATAAGCACAGAGAAACGGGCCATGACGGCAAAAGCAAGGAATGACCAAGCTGATAAAGCTAGAGATGATTTACATCAGCAAAGAGTAGAAAGGCCAAAGTCTAGGGTGCCAATTTTCAGTTGCTTATTCAAACTCTAAGGCTGCTAAAAAAAAAGAAAAGGAAAGATAAAAATCCTAAGGCTGTTCTGTAATGCTTGATATGATAGAGAGAAGGGTGGATCAACACTGACAAGAAAAGGTATGCACCCTCAAGCCACCTGAGACTAGCTTTGCTGAATACCACACACCCAAACAGAAAGGCATGGTTTCAATCCCAGGGTTTCTTTCTCTCTCCTTTGTTATCATACCATTTACCTACACAAAGAAGTAAGGAATAATATACTTTAAAAATTCTGATCATAAGAACTTATGTTACTCATCAGTTCTGCAAATTCCAATGACCGAAGAAATAATGCTACATACATTGGAGAGATAGAAATGAACAATGTTCACTATTTTCCACACCAAACATGGTAAGTGGCAGGATATGGAATTTTAGTAGGCCTCAACTATTTAATCTCCACCTCCCTTCCCCTCCCTCCAGTTCTTTCTTCATACACTTATTTCTATTGACTGGTCAAAAAGGGCTGCAGCAAGCCAGAATAATCAGCAAACATGATGTGTATTTTTTTTTTAGTCTGAACTTTTCCTCGGAAGCTCTTGCTCTCATAGCTACTCCAACAGTACGGAAAAACCTTAGAAAATTCTGTGACCCATAGCCATTTAAGAGATTAATTTTATTCTGGGTCTCCCTGAAGGTAAGAATCACTGTTCAGTGGGCCTCAGGTTTGAGTTTCAGTCCATCCCCACCCCACAGTGAGAAATGTGGGAAAGGACTAGAATAAATTTAGTCTTTCTCTACAAACCCTAGGACCAAGAATTTGATTAGTAAGATCTAGACACTGTTAACAGTAGGAGCAGCACAGCTGCAAGGGAAGTACAGGCCAGGCATTTGTTTTCTTGAATCTATGGACTTTGCATAGAAATGTCCAATTCACTGCATTTAGGTCCAAGTTTGGTCACTAAAACATTAAGGGTAAAGGAAAAGAACAAAAAAAAAATAGAAAGGTATGATACTCCTGGAGGAGAAAAATAATGCAATTTTATCTGAAAAGGGCTAAAAATAGTTCAAGTTACACAGGAAAGATTAACTACCTATGACTATACTTTGAAATGGTAAAATCTCTAAAGAAACCATGTCTCACTTTAATAATAAGTAATTCAAAGTAATAGCATTTTCTGGCTATTTATTTGAAACCTTATAAATATCAAATAAAAACACTTCCTAATCCAAACAAACTTCAACTTTGTTCTGTTTTGTTCTTTTGACCTTTGTGATGCAAACATATTCTTCTGAGTTTGTCTGTCAATAACTTATGAACCTCATATTATGTTTTACCATGATATATTTTTATACTATCCTATAAATTCTATAAAACCCTAGCATGCAAACCTATTCAGATGCTATCTGAACCAGAACATCAGTGGAACATTCTAAGGCCCAGGTACCTACAACAATGTTTAGAATCTGATTCTGGAAGTAAATGCAGTCAATTATCATCTCTCAAAATTGGGAAGATCTTCAGCATCATAGCCTTTAAAGTGATAAATACCTGAAAAAGCCTGGTATTAAAATATTATTCTAGGGAGTTTTAACTAAATCCAAATTACTCTCAAGAAGCATTTAGGTTCCAGGCCCACAATAAGAGCTGGCACAGGACTTGGAAACATTCTTATTCCCACTTTTCCAAGCTAGTGCCAGAGACCATGGGCAAGTCATTTAACATTTTTAAACTTCACTTTCTTCATGTGCAAAATGTGTATCAATAATATGTAATTCTATTGATCTCTCAAGATGATTTTGATCAAATGAAGAACTATAAGAGTGCTGTATAAATGTTAATGAACTATATTAATGTTAATTTCTATAATAAGTTTCAGAAAACAGGATCTGAACTTAACTGAAAAGGTACTTCCCCATTATTAAGCCATAATCCATTCCCTAGGAAAACTCTGGGCAAATCTCAGTGATTCTTATATATTAGACTAAAATTTGGAAACTAAGCACCCACCAGAGAATAGAACACCATCACCTCAGTCTATTTCACCCATCTGAATACCATGACAAAGGTAAAACTGCTGAAAACAACCACTGTAGTCTTAATTTCCCCATCACCTACTGGCATGTGTGTGTGTGTGTATCAAGGTGGAATGGAAATGCAGCCACACATGAAATGCTGCCTGTCACAAAGTTTTGACTAACTTCAGATGTTTAAGTTTTGTTTATGCTACATGAATAGCTATTGGTCTTACCTTTGGTTTCTAGAGTCACTGGATCAGAATACTCTCCAGCCACAGCTTTGTTACAAGCTCGCACTCTGAAATTCATATACTTTGAATCAAACTTTAAGCCTGAAAAAATGAAAATGGTTCTCAGACATAAGAAGTAAAGTAATCGACTCTAAAAGTCTGAGTATGAACCTTAAAACAGATATTTTTCCCTCCTTGGAACTTTCTCTTTACTTGAGAGTAAAGTACAGAGTAAAGAAAAGTAAAGAGTAGAGTTAAAGAGTAAAGAGAAGAGTAAAAAATATATGTTAAAATGGTGATAATGCCTGAAATAAGAGGAATCATGATTTATGAACTATTTTCTTCAAAAGAAATAAATCATACATTTTATCAATAGGTTTTTTAAAACCAAGTAATAAAAAGGTATTCTCAAGCCTCATTAAAAGTAGTGGTTAATTCAAGGAGAGATGCTACAATTTAAAATAACATTCAATTTCTGGAAAACAGACATGCTAAAGATTTTTGTACGTATAAAGCCCTTTGTTTTTATATGAAAAATGAACTTAGAGAGAAAACAAAACATAGAAATTAACAGCAAAACTTTGAAGTTAATCAGGTCTAGATTAAAATCTCAGTCCAAAAATTACTAGCTATGGGGACCTTCAACTTGGGGCCAGTTTTGTTATCTATAAAATAGAAATGATAAAAACCAACTTCATACTTATAAAGATTAAATGAAATATATCATGTAATACACTTCATTCCAGTTCCTGACTGATGGTAAGTACTCAATAATAGTAATGCTATTAATGTTACTGCTCATACATAACAGGAGTTAAATCAGGGAACATTCAGCCATTTCAAATATCCAAAGTCCCCTACATAGAGGTATCTTTTTAAGGACTTTCAAAGGCCAACACACAAATTTCTAACATCAAGTTATAGCTCCACTTTTAAGTATTACCATGAAGGTAATCATAAAAGGGTAAAATCAACAGTATTCACAGCATCACTGAAATGTGGGGTAGTGTATATGTATCTAGAAAATTGACTACTTTTTTTATTGTTAGAAAACCAAGATAAAAATTAAATGTTACTTTGAAATATATCGTTTCCAGTACATCACTTCATGTTTGCTTTACATACCTTGTTTCACCAGATTGAAATGAAGATTTTCTGATGTTTTGAGAGAAATTCATTTATATAGTGAATATATAAAAAGCTTGGCTACAGAAACTTAATAACCTTATCTTTTAAAATAACTCAAAATATTTTTCACAATTACATTTTCTAAGAATGAGATTTATGAAATGCAATCATTTTACCTGACAGAGTATATTCAGTACCCTTAATATTATCAATTATCTCCCAGCACCGCTCATCCTTTACACGTGGAAGTCCATCAAAATTAGTTTTCCTATATTCCAGTATAAAATGGTCAATCTTATTATCTTCTTCTGGCATTCTCCAAGCTACTGTTACAGAGTTGTCAGCCACCAAACACTCTACTGGATCTATCTCTGGAGCTTTGGGGACTGAAGAAAAAAAAGAAAGGCTCATTTCTCATGTATTATAGTGCTAATTCAGTATTTATGTTTGTTACCCAAACTATGCTTTTTCATGTTGCTTTTGAATTATTCAATTGAATCAGGCTAAGAGAAGGGATGCACTATAAACGCAAAATAACTACTCAAAGCTCCACTTAAAAATTCATGTTTCAAAGCTTTTTCATAAACTTTTTCAAACCCTAATTGGCAAAAGCAATTCAAACATGCCAAGGCTAAAGAATCAAGAATGACTTGTCACTTCTCGGCAAATACCGCTATTTCAAACAGTTGTAGAATATAAATTAAATCATGATTGACAAAATAGAATAACTTATTTTTGAGTCCAGTGATTAAAATAATTCAAGATATTTTCAATGTATTTTTAAAATCTTATTTATAAGACAATTGTAATTTCTCAGCACTAAATAAAAATGAACTCCACAAAACCCCAAAATACTCTAGAATTTTTAAATGTTTCTCCAAAGAATTCTGATTCATTTATTTAAACTGTTATGAACAAGTATAAACATTAATTTCTTTTCCATAAAAGAGATTTTTTTCCATAGATATTCAATATTAACAGACATTCCATTTACATAACAGGCTAATTGCAGAACATGGTACTCTAGTGATAGATGTGTCTGAAATATGTGGATCTGTGCAGTTACTGTATTTAAACATTTTGTCACTAGAAAAGGAGTTTTAAAAGACTTACTCCAAGTATGCAAGGCTGGTTCGACATTCGAAATCAATTAATCTAATCTATCATATCAGAAGAAAAATCACATGATCATATCAATAGATGGAGAAAAATACTTGACAAAACCAACAGCCATTCATGACAGAAACTTTCAGCAAACAAGGAACAGAGGGGAGCTTCATTTGATAAGAGCATCTGCAAAAACCTACAGTTAATATCATACTTAATGTTGAGAAACTAGATGCTTTTTCCCCTAAGGCAAGTGTGTCCCCTCTCACCACTTCTATTTAACACTATAGTGGAAGTTCTAGCTAAATACAATAGGACAAGAAAAGGAAGCAATTTTAAATCTATCCTTGGAATCCAATATATGTTATTAATAAGATATATAACAATCAAAGAAGAATTTATCATTTGTCATTACGATTAATTTCCTTCATCTGTCTTGTAGAGTTTTTGTCCCTATATAACAATGTTTTGTCCCTGTATAACAGATGTTCATCTCTATTACTGGAATATAAGCAATACAGACTACTATTCATTGCAGAGAAGAGATCACAGGCATTCATGAACTTAATATGCTCCGCACTGACAATATATGAAGATATGTAAAGGTCTATGGCATGTAGTAATTCTATAATTTTGCTCAAAATCCTGTACTGAAAGTCCCAATATAAAGAGAGAGTCACTTTCTAAGTAAGTTTAGTTAACTTCCCACTATCTACATCTCAGTTTAGCTGCTGTTACAGTAAGAATGTACTGGCAAGTAGATTCTTCTTTCTGGTGAGTAATGGCTCCCAAAAGAAAGCAAATTGTTAAAGGAGATAACAGGTAAAAGTGAAAAAGAAAAAAAATTCCAAGAATGTGGTGATACTTGGGAGGGAAAAAGAAAATCTAGGTAATTGAAAAGTGGAATGTCAGATTAAGGTTGACTTCGATCTAACATATGGGAAGTTCATCCAGGATAAAATACAGAAGAGTTCATCAAATGAGGGATAAAACTAAAGGAAGATGAAAGGTGGCAAACTTGTAACAAAGAAGTACTACTTAGGAAACACAAAACTCTCTTAATGGACAGCAATTTGCAACTATTTCCAAACAGTTAACTAGCAATAGTGTAGAAATTAGTTCAAGAATTTTACCACGGTTTTCTCTACATATGAATGTAAAGGACAAGTGGCATCTATATTGCCACAAACATGTTTCTCTTCTTGGCTGTATGAGCTCAGAAAGGAAAGCATATAAATTCAATGTAGAAAAACTAGCTTAAAATATAATAAAATAACTGTAATTATCATCATCCATCATTATCACTTGCATTTATCAGACTAAGAGGTCTACAACTCATGTTAACATATGTAATACAGTGCAGAGTTGACTTCTATAGTATTTAAAGAATGAATTAAGGGATGAAGATACTCATTTTTTTAGTTATTTGATTTCATGTTACTGGAAATTTTTATGCTATAGCAGAATATAAGAAATTAGTGATATGAATTCCTCTTTCATAAACTTTAACAACCTAAAATACTTTTCCTTTGGGATGAAACTTCTTCACAATGACTTCTTGCTTTTTATTATACCTCATTCCTTCAGACTGTCTTAACAGTTTATCAAAAGAATAAATCCTAACTGTGCATGTAGTCTACTTGGTTATACAATAGGCATGGCCTTGGTCTGTTAAGGCATCAATGAAACCCAAGAGAAGGAAAGTAATAGTGAGAAGACTGCGTTTATAGTAGAGTATTTCAAAATACTAATACTCACATATTACTGTATCAAGAAATAATCTAATAACAATACTTGAGCACCTGCACTTTTGTCTTATGCATGCTATTGTAAGAAACGTACTAATTCCAAGTGTTCATACACAAAAGAATCCTACTGTAGTTCATTTTGGGTAACTGCATGTCTGTGTCTATGTGTGTGTTTAATAATATAATATTACTGTCATATAAGTACAGATATGGATATTTCAGTAGAGGTGATTGTCAGAATACATGACTTTCTTTTTAAAAGAAAGTAACAATAATAATACCTGTGTATTATTATATAATACAATAATAATAATAATACAGTCCACCACCTCTGACTCCTTCTGAATTCAGAAATAATGTGAATGAAAATGTAATGGTTAGTAACTCTGAAAGGCCATTTACAGGTAGATATTCTTCCTTTAGAACTAGGGTTCTTTGTCTCATCTCTTCCTTCTATAAACTCCTCTAGAACTTCTGAACTATACCACACAAGTTAATACTTCACTTGTGCTACCCTTACTAGTTCCATTATAGCTTCATAACTCCTAACCTTGTTTTTCCAATCATATTTTAAAGACCCTGACCAAATACTCAAAGAATAGAATGGTTTCATATGATCAACATTCTCTATTCAAAAACAGCTAACTTCCAAAAATAAAAGCCAGTTCTCACAAAGCACCTCTAAGTAAAACGCTTCATTTTCAAGAGATTTCCTGATCCCCTAAACCACTGTGCCCAGATTGTTTTAGCTATCAAGTTAACATTACTTGATGCTAGCTAAAAAGAGAGTACTAACCAAAAGGCGCTTAATTGGCTTTTTTCATACATGTGGACAATTTGGGACTCAATTTCAAATGTTTTTGTCTACTGTAATATCCTGATACTAATACTCTAATAAACCAATGTTAATATATTATCACTGGAAATAAAATTCCATCTGAGCCAACACCAACCACAACAATAATGGCAATAAAAGCAGCTAACACTCATTGAGTGTTATGTGGCAGCTACTACTTCAAGTACATTAGAGGTTTCATTCATTTAATCCTTATAGAAACCCTAGAAGGATAACACAACATTTTAAAGATGAAGAAAATGAGGCAAAGTTAAATAAATAACCTGATCAGTTACACAGCAAGTAAGTGGTAGCCAGGATTTAAACGTAAGAAGTATGACCACAAGACTCAGTGTTAATCACCATGGTATATTGTTTCTCTCTGCCAAACTAGCAATAGAAGATATCCCTTAATGGGATTCTTAAGATGGAATATTTACTACAGTAAATAATTCTTTAAAATAAAGACTAGCAAATTTAATTATTCCTTAGCTAAATAAGAGGGGGAAAAATCACACTAAATTTCTTTAATATTTACATCCCAACGCTCATTACAGAAAAAATATCTTGCAGAAAAAAACATTTTTATACATAACTTTACATGTAATATAATATACTTAACTTACCTGGCAAAAACTTCAAAGTTTGCAGTATCTGTCTTTCCTGAGCAAAATCCACCATTAAATGAGTCATGTTGTCACTGACCTTTGGTTTCAAAGAGAGGCGAAAGGCTGAAGCCATTGTTACTCTAAGGTAAACACAAACATACTTTCAATGATAAAAATGAAAGAATGGGAAGTATCATACCATATTTAATTTATAAAGTAAAGAGAAATTATTTCACTCCAGTAATATCAGAAACTGTAACAAAGGTAACAAAGCTAAATAGAAATTTTCTCTTAGAGTCTTTTGAAAACTAAATAAAAAACTGTAAATGTTTTTAAATTTAAAGATATTTAAGGTAACTTTAAGCAACTTTTTTCCAGCTAGGTTTCCAAAACTGCATACAAATATAAGTATGATGAAATAAATATCCATTATGAATCATCTTTAATAGACCCAATAGTCATCTGAACCTCTGTACACTCAATCTGACTTCCTGATGCCAACCTCATTCCTTTCCATATGCCAAACAGTGAACTGTACATACACCCTGATTCTCCACAGTAGTCACAGCTGCTTCATGTATCCTCAAATACTGCCCAAATATTGTACAGCTTGGTAGCTGCTAAAGACAAGACATGAATGAGAAAGGAGAGAAGTGAAATCATGATTTTAAGTACGAGGCTAGTAGGCATCACTCTGATGTGTCAAAATCAGCTATGTGGCAGATTACAAGAAACAGATCTGTGAAACCATAACCCATGGAAATAATAGGAGTTCAATAAATATTAGATGAATATGGTACAAAAAAAAAAGAAGCCTCATGTTATCCAAAGTATGGAGAAACTATTCCATCAATTAAAATTAGAGGCTAAAAGAAATTCTCATCTTTTATTAATTTGTCACTCTTATCTCAAATTTCAGTTTTTCATATTACAGTAAATTTCCACAAGTATCACAAAGTAAATCCCCTTATTATCTTTGGTCAAAGAATGATACAAAAGTACTATTCATGAAGGTTGTCACCCTGGTACAATGTGGGACGTGAAGTAAATAGAGTTGGAGGAACAAAGGGAATACCAGGCCTAGTTAATTCTGATCTGCCAAATCTACCCTACACATCGATGGTATGAAAGATATCTAACTTGTTGCTGTATTCAGTTATTTGGTGACAAAACATGCCAAACTGTTGCTGTATTCAGTCACTTTATTTTATTTTAAAATCAAGGAAGTAATTGTTTTGTTTAGTCATAATAAGGAGTCAACAACAGCTGATTTATTTATCAAGAAAGTGCTAAAATACAATTTATTGGGACAAGAACTCACACTTCCTCAACACTAAGTGTAACACTGTTTTACACATACTACTTTAAGCTGTTGGTTCTCAGTAATACAATTTCAGATTATGTCAGTAAGAAGTTATGAACTAAGAGTATCATACATATTTTGTTCTTACAGTCCCAAGGATCTTTCCATTTGAAGACTTTTGAAGATGGGTACTTAGTAAATGCCCACTGAATCACTGAATGGGTTTGAACCTACTTAGTTGCTTCTAAACCTGTTTAAATGTTTGTTGAGAAATATTGAGACAGAATATCTGAAAGTATTTTAGGGTATTTAAATCTGAAAGTTCATAAAACTTGACTCAATCACTATGGCCTCAAAGAAAAAGAATGCCCCCCACAAATGTATTAAAGGTCTATCAAAGCCTAAAAAAACAAGAACAATGACTTTTATTTTTCTAGTCAATAAAAAGTTTAGTCTCTATAAAACAAGTTAGATGTACAACAAGGCTATAATCTTTCAAAAAACTAAACTCATTATTTTTTTTATTTTTTTACTGAAGTATAGTTGATAGAAAATACTATACTGGTTTCAGGACCATAACACAGTGATTCGACATTTATCTCTATTACAAAATCCTCACTTTAAGTGTAGCTAGTTTTTATTTTTAAACTGAATATATTTAGAGTCTAAATTGTGCCTGAAAGCCCAAACTATCTAAAATTCACAGATAATTCTCTACATTACAGGATCCGTATAGTTAGGAATGGTTCAATTCATCTTAACTTTCTTGGTTTATTTTTAATAGTACAAGGATCCCTTCTTCCTAATTTTATCTTTACAAAGAGAAAACAACTGCAAGACATATGGATGAGCACTTTTAATTTACTCAAACTGCCTACCTAATTAACTCAACTCTTCCTTTCATGATCCCTTTCTTTCAAGAACCAGCAACTCCCACAATATACTTCAACCAATCATCTTTCAATATTACTATGCTCCCAGAAGTGTTTAACAGTGATTTGTAAAGCTCTATAGATCTGCTATTATCTTCTCATTTCTGTCTTTAGTTTTTACTGTCATTCCCACTTTTCCACCTGCATAATTTCTATCACAGCAAATGGTAAATACTGAGTTCTCACAGATCCTTTCATTTTCATATATTTGATTCCCTGCTCAGGTATGTTACACATTCTTCCTTAAAATATTACTTCTGTCCTAATATAAGGGAATAAACTTTTCTTTTCTTAGTGAAAATAATTATTTTACTATGACCATATGACATTGTTTCTACCTTATAAATGGCAATGATGGAATTCTAGAAGTTTGCTTCTTGGAGAGCACCTAAATACTAACTATATCAGAGAAACCTGGACATTATAAAGCTAAAAATAAAAAAAAATTAAAAAGCATTAAGCCAAGACTCAGAAATGTTCCTTAGACAGGAAGTCAAAATTTTGTGGATAACCAAAAAAAAAGTAGAGGCTTCGAAAAAAATGGAGTTTGCCATGGCAGAAAAAAGGAACTCTGATTCCTGAGATTGGTCAAGCCAAGAGGTTGTCTTAGAAGAAAAGGCAAAGAAGTCAAGCCTCACTGAAGAATACATTCAGCCATTAAAACCTGTGAAATTAAATTCTGACAAATGAATCTGGACAAAGATAAAGAGGTCAGTGGTAAGAACAGGATTCTGAGAAGCACAGAATCATATACGTTCCTAGGAGAGGAACGAGAAAAGACTTTGCAAGGTCTCTCACAAAGTCTTTGGACAACTCCAAGACTGAGTAGGAAGTGACTTCTAGTTCAGAAAATTAGGGGCCAGAACAGGACTGAGTGGAGTAGGTGACAAAACAGAATAATCTAGCCATGGTGGAAGATGGACTACTCATAATGAATACAGCAGACACAATCCAATTCTACCTTTTCAAAAAAACTGACCTACCTAACATCCATTCCTCATACAGCCAATACTTTTCACCTTCAAACTCATAATCTCCTTTCTACATCCAAGATTATAAGAATGATGTACCTCTTTAACCACCACTCCCTGATATAAAATATACAAAAAATACAAAATCATTATTTGTGCTAAGAATGTTATGACAGCCATGTGAATCTTGCCTCTAGTTAAATAAAAGGCCATAAGAGAAACACAGAATTGAAGTCTTCAGTCTAGATTAACAGTAAAGACATTGGTTTTTGTATAATCCATAATGAATAATTTTGTGAATTATCTGATGAAGAATAATCTAAGATTCAAAGCGGTAGTTTGAAGAGCTATGCCTTTCCGAGAATCTTAGAATCCTCAAATGAAGAAACCTCAAGTGATAATCTCACTGTAGTTAATGTGCAATGACTAGACAGGCACATCAGAACCATCCATTTTGTGGTAACCCAACACAAAACTGCCAGCAGCTCTATCAGCCCTTTGGTGTATTCATTATGGCAAGTACTAAATTCCCTTTCTTAATCCTGGCTCTAACAATGAGAACGACATGCTAAGTCGAAGGCTCTCATCATTTTCTTTAATTTTTTCTTCCCATAAACTAGACAGTAGTGGCACTAGAAATAGAAAGAGATGGCACCAGGAACAGGATGGAATGAGAACACAAAGGTGTTAAACAGGAGAGCAGTGAAGAAGGAGAGCTTTAGTTCTTGAGGCCTATTTAAAATGCTGACTTCTCAGAAAACAAGAGACACTTACAAAATTTAAGAACAAAAAGTGCATTCCAGGTATTTATTTTTTAACTATTCAAAATGGTTCCCCATTCATTAGCTTAGCTAATTAAGAACTGTACTAAAACTAACTATATTACACCAGAAATGAAATTCTTTTCAAGTACATAATTGTCTACAACTATGTTTTTGAAAAACCATGTTGTTTATTACAGAAGATATGCAGGAGACATTTTTTTGGACTTGGCCATAAGATATTTTTATTTTAAGCAGTGAGATTCTAATAAGAAACTATTCTTGAATTTCATTTCTGACTTCAGTACTGATATTTAAATAAAAATATATGTTTTATACCATACCTATCCTTGATCTGTCTGGCAGCCTTGGAGCAAATCAGAGAGAAGAGAAACAAGGCAGTTAGTGCTTTTCATGCAAGTTTCAATGGCAGTGACATGCAAGAAAAGTTAGGATATAAATCCTGGAATAGATTAGTTCATATTCACCAAAATATAAATTACAGGAAATATGTACAGTTCAAATCAGCTTGCATAATGTGATATTAGAGCTATAGTAGAAAATCCAAACTCCATATAAATCACCTTAAAAGGAGAAAAATGCAACACTTCAAACTAATTCCAGATGACTATAAATGTTTCTTCTTACCTTATTATCAAAACACACCTCCACTTTATTCAGTCTGACTAGAACAATCAATCTCCTTTATGAGGTACACATTTCTAGGCATTCTGATGGTGTTCTTATACATTTCAAATCTGTACCCCAAATTTTTCTTCAGAGATCTCTTTCACCACTTCATAATGTTCCAAGTTTTCTCTAAGCTTTCACTGGGCAAGGACTTTGAATTCTGAGAGCTTGCCTGCTAACATATAAAACTAGGCTGCAGTTCGACAATCCTTTTCCCCAAAGTGAAGGTATATGCAAATATTCAGACAAGGAGAAAATAGAGAAATATTTCTAGCAATGGGGTCTGTCCCTTAAATGAATGCTATAGAAGCTGTCCACTTAACCCTACTCTACAAAAAGTATCTTTTTTTACTTTGGAGAATGGTAGCAAAAGTTTAGAAAGGGGCACAGCTATTACTTAATGCTGTATAGTTACTGAAAAAAACTTGGAAAAACTGTTGTCCCCTTTACATTTACACACAACATAACATACCCAACAAAAGTTTTCCCCCCCCCACCGACCAGCATAATGAACTAACTGTACATCTAATGAAAACCATGACTGTTTTGCTTGATACTCTATCCCCAGTGTCTAACACAGAGCTTGGCACATAGTAATACCTAATAATTATTACATTTAATTGAACATTAATTAGATGTACATAGCAATGTTTCTATTGCCACTTTTTAACACTGTTCTTATTTGGAATTGATTATTTTTATATCCACCCTAGAATATTCTGGTCTGAATACCTTTCTACACAAAAAAAACAGAATTGAGATTTAGGAGATCAGCACATTATACAGTTCCAGCGCTACCATAATCAATTCTGTGACCTTATATACTATTCTATTTCTTTATAAATAATTCTAATCATTCTATTTCTTTTATAAAGTAATTTTGGTCCTTAATATTTCTAAAGATCCTTCCCAAGCTCCACATTCCATAGGAAACAGCCCGATTCTGTGGCACCTAGAATATGTGCCTTCCATTATGATACTACTTTGGTACTAGGTATAAGAAATATTAAGAAAGTGAATTATATTGACTTTTTAAAATTATTGTCATTATAACTAGAATTACAAACCAAAGATTTATTATAAATGCCAATGTAAAGGAGACTTTGTTGCACTTATTTCTTTATATACAGATAAAGTACCACTAGTACTCCCTTAGCCTTTCTCTGTTCCATCATTACTCCTGGGAGATATGACTTAACGAGATTATGAGACTGAAAGGAAAAACCAGAAATAAGTAGCTCGGCACCTTTTCCTCTTTCTGGCAGCTTGCTTGCCCATAGAAAATGTGTATTTGGTTCTTTCCATCTATGAGTTTCATTGAAACAGGCTCCCCACCCCACACAGAACTGGGTGGGAAAGTCTGTTTCATTCTAGGATTCAGTAGCAGGAAGCTTGCCCATTGATATAAACCAAATTCTCTGATATTACTTTATCAGTATTTTCATCAGCTTTTTTATCTTATTTCTCAATTGGTTTAGAACTTGGTTAGAAGAATGTTAAGTCACTCTCAAATAACCCAACAATATGAAGACCATTATTGTTTTTTAAACTGACTGTAATGATTCAATTTCAGGTCTCTGTTAATTTAGTAAGGTCTCGTTTTGTAGTGTCTGTGTCTAAGTGCACAAACATATACAAGCCGTGAAGCTTTTATGTTTTTACTTACTGTACCAGGCTTTTGTGACAAACCAGTAAAAGAACAGATGAAAAGCCAGATAATCTAGGAAAAACTACTGTCCCATGTATTTACATATAAATATACCTGGCTGGTAGAACTATCTTGTTCCTCTTTCATTTAGTGCATCAAATTTTATACTATATACACAATGTATAAATGCAGGAGGGATTTGAAGAAGTTGTTCTGTGCAATGCTAAAAGGGTAGAAAATCTCAAATTCTGAAGATATTTCTCTAAAAGTACCCAATTTCAAGAAATATCTTAAATT